TGAATAATACTTTTTATTTTTTAAATAGAAAATATTGGACTTTTCCCGACGATGGATCTATTAGACAATTTTCTTGAGGTATTTAAGTCGAAAGAAAAAAGACAAAAAGATTTTCTTTTGTTAGGTAGTGTAGCAATTACCCCTTGGTTTTTCTTTATGCCGCGGTTCTTTTTCAAGGGTTTTGTCTGAATCGGGTGTAGCTAGTTTTATTTTTTTAGGAATAGGAGCCATTGTGTTGTGTTTTGAATTGAAACAATATCTCTTAACTTTGTTATATCTTGAGAATAGTGAGTACTTTGGATGTGACGCTTAGGCTCAATTTTTGACTCTTGTAGAAATACCTTAAATCGTATAATCTTAACTGTACTTAACTGCTTTGACTAGAGTGTCTTGATGAATCCAATCCTGAGTGAGTAATGTGTCATGTGTGTGTTATTCTGTGCATTGCATTTGATGTCCAGAACTTGCCCCGTGTGTTTGCAAAGCGAAATAGTAATTTTGTTCAGTCTTGAAAGTGATATAAGCGTTTCTTTGTTGAGCCCGATATATATAGTTTACCCGCCTAATTGTTATGTAACGTAGTTAACACCCTTTGAGCCTGTAATCCTGTTTCTTTGGCAACCACATTACAAGCCTTACCCATTTGTTTGAATTAATTATCTATTTGAACATGTTCACCTCTCATGAGCACTTGAATTGTTATGAACTTTGTAAAGGTTAAAGTGTAGGGTGGATGGTGGAGCTTTTGAGTGGAACTAATGAAATAAGGAGAAAGGTGCACTGTGTTGAAAAAAATAAAAGCCACTTGAATTAGGAAAAAAATATATAGTTGTATTGTTGCGAATAATATTCCTTTGGTGGCTTTTGATATAATTGTACTTAAAGAAGTATGGGGTAATATATATTTATGTGAAGGTGGAGTTATGGTTTCACATAAGTGTGGGGTTTTAAATGTTAAAGTGTATGTATTAAAGTGCTTAGGGAGGTGTAGTCACTCTTATATCTAAATGCATCATATCCGCCCCGCAGCCTACATTACAACCAAATAAAGTTCTACTTGATCCGAGACTGAATGAGCTCGAATAGTAGAGTAGTACACTACGGAAAAGCCTATGGTGTATCTTTTGTGGCATATGAATGTTATTTCTGAGAGTGAGTGAATACTTTCTATCTTGAGTTCCTAAGTGTTCTTAAATTTTATTGTGTGGAACTACTCTCTTTTGCTGTGTGAGGGCACTTGATTCATTAGAAAAGGTAATGTCAGTGACCTCTATGTTAGGGTAAGTGGGTGAGTTGTGAATAATGCGTGGTACTTGTGAGTCAAATCTTAAGGTGAAAATATTACGTTTTTGTGCTTAGTCTATTTCAAATATTGTTGGTGTGATGAGTTAGGAGAATTATTTAAAAAGGCTGTGTCTATATAAAGTGTAGTTTGATTGCTCGAGGACGAGCAATGGTTTAAGTATGGATGTTGAAGATAGGCTATAATTATGTATTTTAGTCGCTTATTACACTCTAATTTACTGCACTTTAGTTGAGTTTGAGCTTTAATCGCTAGTATTTTGTACTAATTAGGTATTTTATTCCTTGTAGGAGTGATTCTGAGCTATGCGGATGTTATGGAATGAATTCAAGTAATCTGGAGCTTTGAAGTCGGAGTAAAAGCCCAAGGAATTAAGCCAAGATCGTGTTCGGGGATCAACGGATGACAGCTTAGAACGAACGAAGAATCGAGCAGACATATTACGCATTGTCTAGTAAAATACACATAACGTTTCAACTAGGACTCCATTTGGGGTTCACAATATATGGTTGGAAAGCTAATTCAAAGGGCTACAACATTCATGTTTTACGTTGTTTCAAATTCCCAACAAAACATAGTGAAAAGTGCGCGGCAAGTACGCAGCCGCGCACTAACCGCGCATATGGGGCAGAAAGTGTGAAAAGTGCGCGGCCAAGTACGCGACCGCGCACGTCCTGTCCGAAAAAAGTGTCCTTTTTTGCGTAGGAGAAGGTATAATTATCTGGGCCCGACCCTATTTGGTATATATACATGAAAAATAGTATTTTGAGGACTTAGACACCACTTTAGGGTAAGATAACACCCAAGGAGGCAAGAATACGCAGGGATCAAGGAGGAAGATTTAACCACGAGTTTTTCCCCTTCTTCTTCCTACTTTTCATTGTTGGTTATGACTTTTAGTATTGTAGTCTTACATACTATTATGAGTAACTAATTAATTATCTAGAGTTTTGATGGAACCTTTTGGAGGATGAATTCTTGTTATGTTTTAATATAATTTAACCTTTGAATTTATCTATTTGTCAACTACGTGCTTATTTCAGTTGATTGAATGACCATCGATTAACTGTGCCTATCTATTATATGTTTCTTGAGAAATGATACATATTTAGGTGGTTGTTGAACAACGTCATTCCTAACGTATGTGAGAAATCAATACAGCAGGTTTAAAGGTAGGTTTAGAAATAACAAAGTCTTGACGTGGTCATAGTGAGCGGTTTGATAAAGCCAACTAGCGTAGTTCGAGAGAATATGCCTAATAAATTATTGTAGTTACTCGAGAGAGAATTACGGCACCTAAAGTACTCACAATCAGTAGAGAATACATAGGCGAAATTGTAGGAAACATAGCGGGAAGGATTCCGACAATTGAGGAAATCATAACTCTAGACCTCCTTAGTCTTGTCTCAAATTTCATCCTTGTTAGTTGATAATTTTACTGCTTTATAATAGTTGTTAATTAATTAGTTAAAAATAAATATTATAATCTCTATAATTAGAAAATTGTTTGGACTTGTGTTTCTTAGCAATATTGAACAGCTGTATCTAAATCTTAATTCTCTGTGGGATTCGACTTCGTACTTGTAAACCGGATTATATTTGCAACGACCGCTTAATCCTTTTTATAAGGCATAGTTGGGCGTGATCACTCATCCAAAGAAATAAAAAATAAGTCTGATTTCCTTTTATCTTTCTTTTTAGGCTAAAATATGATCGTTATTGTCTTCTTCATTTGGACACAATCCCATTAGCTAAAGACATCAATCGCATTAATCCTTGGCAAACTTTAATAGATAGGCTAATCATGGTTAATTTCAACGAATTCCGTTCCTTAAAAAAAAAAGTGCTGCTAAACACATGTCGCTCTTATATTCGGTTGATGAAGAAGATTATAAGAGAATTTTCCTCACATGAGTTTAGTTTTTGAGACCCAAAAAACAAAAGTTTAGTTTTTTCAATAAGACGTTTTTGCATTCATTAATTCTGACATTTTCATCAGTTCTTACTTAATGATTAGGTTGTTGAGCCACCTTCCCAATCTTTATTCAATCTTTATTGTCAGGAAACTCTTTTTTTTTTTTTTTTTTTTTTTTTTTTTTTTTTTTTTTTTTTTTCTATTTTTATAAAAAGATTTACTTCTTCTTTTTTCACCATAAGAAGATTTACTTGATTAAGATATTAATGAGTATAATATTTTATTATACTGCCTTTTATCAGATAACTCATAGGCGCTATATAATGAAACTTTATATCCATTTGTACTCTTCTTATAGTTCCATGTGGTTGAAATGTCTTATTTTTGGCAATCTGAACTTAGTTTTCTTTAAGTCCACCAAACGACATCCTTAGAAGCAATCAAATCAAGTTCTAATTTAACAACTTTGAGCAATAAGCAAACTTCATTCCGTGAAAATTACTTGACATCATAACCACTTTAATCTTCTTTTATTTTTAAAATCCTTAAAAGCATAAACTTTAGTAAAATTTAGCATTTTTTTAAATAAAAAAAAAAATTTAAAAATTGGAATTTGAAACAGATGTACTATTGGTTGAAATTGAATGACAGCTCAGAAGAGTGGATTTTAGTTGTGTCTGTTCTATATCCAATATTTGGAAGGATCTATAAACTCTGGCATTGTGTAGGAATCATGTGTAATGAACACTTGAACCCATTTGTCCTAACCATTATGATTAGGCTTTGTTTAGGTATGTTGATTTGTCATGTTTGCCACATTAACTGGTTCTATTTTAATTTTAATTTAAATTCCACTTAGCTGTCCTAAAACCAACTTGGAAAATCTATTATCATCATTTAACACTTTTCTTTACTTTTTAAAACTGTATCAAGATTAGAAAAGCAACTAAAACACACAGAAGGAAGCATGGACCCGCCACACAATGAGTTTCGATTTAGTGCAAATGTATATTACAGAGAAAATTTAAAGCAATTTATATAGAGTTTAAGTCAAAAGAAATACTACATGTAAAACTGCGTTAACAATGTGAATTTACCGTTGTCCGATGCATGCATATGTATCTTGCTAATGATGCGTGAAATAAGTGTCTAATCTATAAGGAAGTAAATCTGCTTACAATCAATGAAAATATAAGATCACCATTTCTTTTGATAATTGATATTCGTATTCCAGTCTTATGGAACAAATTTGGAATAAACGTATATTCAAAGTAATAACACCAATATGAATAATCACACCATTTAATGCAAATAATTTGAAAATTATGGTTGCAGTTTTCAGTTTTCCATAGGAGGAGGTCAGGAGCATAGTCCTCTTGAAATAACAATTTCCTTCTTAATCCTTATTTTATAGGCACCAATTATTGGAGTCAAACATAAATTAATTTCGTAGAGGAACCACATATCAAAGCATAAGCAGCTTAGTAAAAATCGGTTGGTAATTCAAAAGGCTTTTTCTTTTTGTAATTTAATCCATCATTATGAAAATTATTCTGACAATATTAACTCTTAACCTACATGATCGGACTTAATACTTTGTTCTTGCAATTCTAAACGCGAATAGAATGTCTAAACCTACCCAATTCAAACTATAGCATTGACTGAAAAATATTTCGACGTGCAAACAAAGGCAAAAAGAAGTATTTATACCAAATACTGTATAATTACAACGCCAAAAAATTAAATAAGAGATATACTACTAGGAAAATCAGGGGAAAAAAAGAAAAAGAAAATTTGGAGATTTAAAGCCAAAAAGGTCTTACTTCTTGAAATTTTCTTTCTTTTTTACAACTTATAGATGATAAGGAAACATGGCAATACGGCACGTGAATCAAATACAAACAACTCGCCATTATCCCCACTCACTGAGTCATAACCAACTCGCCCATTAAGCAACGAGTCAAACCCGAGTTGTTTGCACACCCGACCCGCAATGACCCGACAAACCAACATAGCCCGTCTTCCCCTTCCACCGCCGGCATTCTCGTGGGCCCCACCACTGCCGGAATACGTGCACACTGCCGTCCCTTTATTAGTGGAGAACGTCCACGCGCTGCCCCCGTTCTCGTAGGCGCCGCCGTTTGTGGGTCCTAGGCAGTAAAACCTCATCACCTCATTCCCATCCGCAACACACCGTACATGGTCCTCGCCACCCTTCTCTGCCGCACCATTGACGGCCCTAGACTTCACAACCTCTCTGTACTCTTCGAACCGGGTCACAGTTCGGGGCAGGTTCTGGACTTTGAAAACCATTTCAATCCGACCCGAAAATACCTTCGGGGACCCGGACCAACTCGTCTGAAAAATTATCTCCACAACATTACGCGATGCGTGCCCTTCCGGTAACTCGGTCAACGCCGGGAAGAAAGACTCCGTCGCGGCACGTGATAATCTCGTGGAAGTACTAGCTCGAGACTTCTCCCTATTCGAATCGGGTTCAGGTACTCTCGAACCGGGACGTTTGGCTGACGGCGGTTCTGATGGCTTTGATGTTTTTTTCTTTCTGGATTTTCCGGGTTTGGTGTTGTCCACTACATCTCTGAGGCTTTTAACGCCGTTTTTGCAACTAGCGGAGTTGGGTAAAAGGTGATGATATTGATGGTGATTGTTAACGACGTCGTCTAAAGCTCTTGACTTGCATTGCCATGACTTCACCCAACCACTCGCCATATGTATTCTCTGAGCTAAATCTTCTTATATAATGTTCAAAGTTTGTCACTATATATGTATGTGAACATACACAGTACTTTTTGTTACGTACAAATGTATACGTACATGTCTGAAAATCTTTGTTTTTGGTGTGTGTAATTGCGGAGGAAGAGGAAGATTTTTGAGCTGGAAAGAATGGAATGGAAGGGACATGGCACGATATTAAATGACAGAGGGGGAGAGTTATGAGACGGTCAAGGGGAGGGAAGTGAATTGACAGAAATGCCCTTCTGAGTTAGTAGGAATTACTCACGTGGATTTATGTCTATATCTATAATTATTTTTGCAGAAGAGAAACAACAAATTTCATAAATGAAGAAAACAAGAAGTCATGAATGGGTTCTGAGAGTGAGAAAGATTTGATACAAAATACGTACCTTTTCTGGTCCTACGTGATCGGACAATTCTGTTCTTTATCATATGATCAATTCAGATTAATTGTTTCTTGGTCGGGTTCTCCTTTTTCTTTTTTTTAATTGGACTCTGTTTTTAGTTGTATTGCTTGTTTTGTTACACATTTGTATCATATAAACGATAATTTTCATTTTACTTGTCCACACAAAAAAGTATATGTCGTTATTTTTTTTGATTTAATTTTCGTGACAGTTAAGCTAGATTATAAAGAAAATATCTTTATTTGATCGTTTAAGGAAAAAATGTCACAATTTAAAACATCAAAAAAGGCTTGATATGTAGGAGTACATGTTTTTTCTTTTTCAGTATTGTCAAATGCACAAAATTTTTCATATTTCGAGAAATTTGTTTTTGTAAAAGATATTATGTAGTTATGATACAAATCCATGCGAGTGATTCATGGCAATAGATGAGGATCATTTTTATGCTTTGATTTTACTTCTCATTCATTGAAATCATCTTGACCAAACGGTGCATTCTTCTTTTGTGATCAAGACATTTGACTGAATTTGAATTGTAATTGACTAAATATAACTTCGTAACTCCTCAAGATTAAGAGAAATCAAAGAAGAGAACAAAGAGGCAAAAACGAATAACGACAGAAAAATAATTTGATCGAAAGAATGATAAATTAATTTAATCTCGCCATTAATGTTTAAAACGTTTCTGATACGCAATATTTGAAAACCCAATGCTAAGATCAAATCTTATTTATTTTCTATTTATGTAAGACAAAGGAAGAAGATTAATGACGATTGATGTCGTTAATTATAGAGATTTGATGTTCAAAAGAAAATATTTGTTGAAACCGCCAATTTAAAGATTTTGAGCCACGAAAATCACTCATGAATCATCATGAAACAATGTACACTAATTTATAATACTAATAATTAACATGTAATCATACGTTATCTTTCAAATCCATTTGATTTAGATGTTCTCAAACTGGCAGTGCAATCATATTTGGGGTCCTCTATTTCCATAACAATCTTTTAACAAATCTTACTCAAATTACTTCAATCTCCTTTTTTTTTTCTTTATTTGTTTTCTTTAATATATAGGTCTAGTTGCAGAGTCCAATATACAAAACATACATAATATTTAGCTCCAAGATTAATTTCAACTTTTATACTGATACTTCCTCTACTAGCGTGCATTAGTGAATTTCATTTCTGTCAGTTGATAGTATATCACGTGCCATGCATATTCTTTTGTATATACAAATACAATATGCTGGTTTAGCTAGCTCGAAATGTTGGTATTGTACTGTGTATATAGCTAGGAGTACAAATTAGAGGAAAAAAATGAAAAGAAATAATGAACACTATTATGCAATTTTAACTTTTTAAGGTTAGATTTTATAATTTCGATCATAGTATACAAATGTCACACTAAAACATTCAATGAAATATAGTTCTGATAGTTTTTACATTAATCTCAAAGCTTAATGTTCCGAAATTTCTTTATTAAAGCTGAAAGCTACTCCAATTTTGACCTTAAAGAGACCAATTACGTGCCATGATTAAGATGAAATAGGATATCAAAACTGCGAAGTTTTTCCCGAAAGAGATTAATAATATCAGGAAAATAATTTGATCGAAAAAAGAAAAAAGAATCTATTATGGTTTGGTTTGGTTTGGTTTGATTTGGCTTGGTATTGAAAAAAAAAAGAACCCTACCATAATTGGTTTGGTTTGGTTTTAACTAAAAAAAATCAAATTAAAGCCAAACCAACCCGATAATACATTTATATAATTTTTAAAAATATTTTATGCATATAAATATTTATTCTGATATAATTTATAAATATTTCTTAAACTTTTTTCACAATTTTATTATTTCAAGTTTGCACTTAACATTCTTGAATGGTAATAATTTTTATAGCCCCTAAATGTGGTAACTCAAACAAAGTTCAAATCAATACTAATGCTAACAAAAGAAATTTAATTCAACACTAGGAATGACAAAGTGTTGGATATCTATTTTTTAGTTTTACATTGGTTTATAATGAAAATGCATAACTTAGTTTTTTTTTTTTTTTAGTGCATAGTTATATAATTAATAGTACTTATTAGCTATACTTATTTTAGCATGACCTATATAGTATTTTTAAATTATGTTAATTTTTATTATGACTTATTAATTAGCAATATTTGCTTTATGCAATTTTATTATCTTTGTTATTGAATATTTCAGTTAGTGTTATGACTTATCTCATATTATTGTGTTATTTTCTTGAAAAATACAATGTACAGTTTATCTTACTAGGACTAAAGAAATATTTGGAGCACATGTTACCTATTTTGTGCTATGAAGATTTTACCGGAAAAAAAAATTCAAAAACCTGAAAAAAATTGAAAAATCCGAGAAAAATCGAGATTGAAAAACCCGACTTTGTTGGTTTAGTTTGGTTTGTAAATTTAAAAATTCGACACTATTGATTTGGTTTGGTAATTGAAAAATCCGAACCAGACCTATAAACATACATCCCTAATCTCTACCTAGTGCAGGTGGTTTAGCCTTAGGTAGGAAGACAGTTATTTTAAAGCAGTATTGGTCGGCATATATAATATTGTCCTTATGTAACTAACTTCGAATGCTTTACTCCCATCTTTATTTTCCCTTAGAAACAAAGCAAAACAAACAATTAGCTGCGGATCATGTGTTATTTGGTAAGACTGAAGTTTCAACTACACTAACTTACTAAAATGGAAATTTGATTGACAAATTTCGTCCTCAAGCCATTTTAGAAAAGTTTGATTCATTTAGGAAGACAAGTGAGAAAAGTTTGTTCTTTTACTGAGAGAATATGATTCTGTGGGGGTGTTTTATTTCCACTTGCTTTTAAATGGCCCACTTTAATGGTGTTTTTGTAATATAATTGCAAGTAAGAGGGCATACTTGACTTTACATGATTTTTAAAGGGGGTTTTTACCCTAACTTTTTGAATTACATTCACAAATTACAACAGAGGCTTTTGTTTAAAAATAAAGAAAAGGGAACCTGCAGGGTGGAATCTTTTATGGAAGTTTGAAGTGAAACAGGTGGAGAAGGGAAAGAATAGAAGAATTAGAAAGAGAATGGAAGCTGGCAAAGAAAGTCACCAAAAAGCTCTGAATTTTAAACTATTCACTACACATTGTATTTTAAACTAGTTACTAGGAGTATTTTAAAAGTCTTTTTAGTTGGGTAATATTATTTGTTGGTTAATTTTTAGACTTTGAAGTAAAGTTTTGGAGTAACGGTAAAGTTATGACATATAAGTAACGTGTTCGAATCGTGAAAACAGTCACTAATGCTTCCATTAGGATAGACCGTCTATTATCACACCTTCTTGGGGTGTCGTGAACACAAGATACTTTATGCACCGCGCTGCTTTTTTTTTTTTTTTTTTTTAATTTCTAGACTTTGTAGTAGCAGATGACTGCTAATAACACTAAGGTAACATGTCACTGTACACAAAGTTTGGTGTTTTATGGGGAGAGTGGTCCATAGTTTCACTTAAAGGGGACAACATTGATTTATGAAATTCCTAAATGCCATTAAACTATTTTCTAATAGAAAACGAAATCACACACCACACCTATGAATCTCAAATCTGAATCACCACAACAATGTGAGCACCACAAAATCTTGACATTTTTGTGATTATCAGGAGTGCTCTATCTTTTCTATTGTAGGATAAAAAAATGCGTCGTGTTCTCTTTTTCTCCATATAGATTATGTTCCATATTTATCTTATTCTCATTTTCCTTGTTTGAGATTTTGGAAAGAATATCTTTAGTTTATGGAATCTTGAACTTTTCCTTTATATTTTCTGAAAGAAAAGTTTCTTGTCTTTGAGGAAAATTTACAGGATAAAAAGGGAAAAAATGATTCCCACAAGGAACCATTTACCTCACTCTTTTAGATTAACAAATGAGCAATAGTCGATATTTGAAATGATGGTACAATTAGGGGCGTACATAACTCGGGTTGGTTCGAATTTTTTAATTACTAAACCAAACAAATTATATTGGATTATTAAATTTAAATACCAAACCAAACCAATAAAAGACTAGTTTTTAAATCTCGGTTTTCTCGGATTTTCGATTTTTTTCGAGTTTTTTTTCTTCATAAAGTCTTCATAGCACAAAACGTAAAATTTGTGCTCCAAATATTTCCTTAATCCTAGTAAGACAGAATTATATAAGGTATTTTTCAATAAAATAACATAAATATGAGATGAGTCATGACATTGTACTAAAATATTCAACAATAAAGATAATAAAATCGCAGAAAATAAATATTATTAATAAGTCATAATGAAAACAAACATAATTTAAAATTACGACTAATAATCATGATTATTTACATGATTAACCACTAAAAGAAAAATAAGTTATACATTTGATCTAAACCATGAAAAAACTAAAAAAATAGATATTCAACACTATTTTCATTCATAGTGCAATTGAATCGAATATCTTTTATTAGTATTAATATTGATTTGATTTTGGATTATGATTTATTTGAGTTACTAACATTTATGGACTATAAAACTTATTGGAACATCCAAAAATTATAAGCTCAAGCTTGAAATAATACGTTAAAAGATAAAACTATGAAAAAGCTTAAGAAATATTTATAAACTACACTACAATAAATATTTTTATTTATTAAATATATTTAAAACTTCTATACATATAATGTCGGATTGGTTTGGTTTCGGTTTGACTTTTTTTAGTTAAAACCAAATC